AACTGAATTTAAAAAATCATGAGGGGGGAGGTATACCCTTGTTGTATGTGGTGTCAATATATGCTGTAGACAAAATACCACTACTGGCAAAATATAATAACCTCTGAGTATGTGGCAGTGTGTGTGTAGATGACCTAATAACTCTTCCAAGGCTTAACTGTTTGAGAATTCCATAATGCCTTTATTTTTAAACATTTAGTTTAACTATGAGACATAATGGAAAAAGTATAATATGAAAATAGATATTCATGCCAATCAAGGCAGATACTTTTTTTTTAAATTATGGTCAAGTGACCTGTCTATTCTCATATCTTTTATATCTGAAGTCCTATGAGCTAATCCTTCACTTTAGTGTACAGTTCTTACTCTGCACTGTTTATTCTAGTTAGCCAGTTCTGTCAAACCTAGGTCAAAGGCCAAAAGAAGAAAGTGACATCAAACATTTCTGCACTGGACTCAAGGACTGCAAAATTACAGACACAGAGAGAGATGTTAATCAAATGGAACAGTAATAGTCATAAAGCACCAAAAAAAAAAAAAAAGCTCTCAATGAGTCACTTTGGGAAAGCCAGATCAGTAGTATCTCTCAGATCTACCACAATCAGATGTTCCAGAGATCAAGTCCATCAGTATGACAACGTGCCTGAGAGACACAGTATCATACATGATACAAAACATAAATGATACTAGATAGTGTACATTAGAAGCAACAGAACTACCAGTTTTATTCTAAATACATTACAGGTATTTGAAAAAAAAATAATTAAGTGTTCTTCACACTACCCCAAGCACAACTCCACATCAGCCCTGTTTCTCCTTTCACATTAGACAGCTGGATGCTGCTTATCTTTAAGGCATCCTGAAGACATTAAATAAATATGAGAAACAGAATCCTTAGCCTCAGGTGCACCGTATGTATTTAGACAGGCGCACATTCCCTGATCAGTCGGCAATTTTGAAACTTAAAGAATATAAAGTTGACCATATAAAATAAAGACTAACAACTAATTGATGAATTGAGGACCATTGTTCCCAGGTATTCAAACAAGAGGCCTTACAGCATAAGAACATACAGCATGAATATCCTGAGGATACTGACCCATTTGCACTCACCATCCCTCTTGTTAAGTCAACCAAAAGTTGAGTGCCCTCTCTTTATATTCAGACTTGGCCTTGCACCTGGATAGTGCTAGTTTCATAGGCTGTGGAGTCCATACATCACAGAATGGCACTGACATATTTCCAGCATTTGTTTCTCAAAGGTATTCATGTCATATCAGCACTAAGAGTCGTCATATCTTGGTTTTCATGTGGCTTTGATGCACCTTACAACGACCTTCCCAACATGCAGACATACTGGACAATGAATCTGCACAATTCTGTATCGGACCAATGATCTGAGTTTTCATGTATACATGAATAATAAACTGCCAAAAGTCCATTTTTAACATTCAGTCAAAATGTTGAAGTATTTCCAATCCCTCTCAAAAGTTCAGCTACAGAATGTAGAGCCAATAAGAACTCCTGAAGGAATTTTACAGCAACTTGATTATTTAGTACTGACTTTGTACCTAAAGGTATATTCAAATAGAAGATGATCCTGGATTTTAGTCTGACTGCAGTTCCAACACACACGCACATTTTATAATGAATAGTATCTATTTCCTAATACGCTATTCAGTTTCAGTGTGATGCTTATCTACCCCACAATTACTTACAGCTCTGTCGACCTTCCCAAATAGGAATTTAAAGGTTTGGGATCATAGCTGGGCATTGCTCACTTACATAAACTTTGCCCAGCTAAATCTTAGAAGTAAGCCTCCATGTGCTGCACTTGCTGTTGAAAACTGGAACATGTACTAGTCAGGGAGCTCCTTCAAACTAGATTGCTAAGAAGTCTGACAAAGTTCAGTTTTCTAAACAAGTTTCTATAATACTTAGTATTCAGGTGAAAATTAATTTGAAGTGTTACAGTGATGGCTAACCAAATTAAAATGCTAGTTTAATACTTTATGCTGAATAAACCACAAACTTTAATTTGTTTATGAATAAAGGTGCACTTGAAATTCTAAAAGATCCTTCATAGCACATATGACCATTAATATATACATCTAAGCTGTAATGTACTCCTATGCCCAAGTTAAGAGAACACAACTTCTATCCACTGTGACAGACTATATTTAAAAAGGAGTTTACACAGAAAAGGATGAAGGGGAAGAAATCACTGAAAAAAATTGTCAGCTACATAGCTAAAGAAAAATCCTAAAGTCTCAAAACAGTCCAAGCATTCTCTGCTAAATCACTTGAGTGAACCTAATGTATGATACTCACAATACAATAGAATCCATAATTGAAAAAGCTCTGGTGACATGGGGTTTTTTGAAACACCTTTGCTCATTTAAAGAGAAGACTTCATTGCTCTTGTAAAGATACAGTAAGTCTAGAACTATCCTGGATTTTTCTTGAGTTCAATCATTTAGCTGGGAGCCTGCAGATAGGCCTGAACTTTAACTGTGTCAAACCATAAGGCTCTCCTTCCTGGAAGCACATCAAGGTTCTTGCACGAAATCTGATCATCAGCATAGTAGGATTAATGACAGAGGTGGTCAGGCTGATAAACTAGCAGAACAGAAACCTGCTTAACTGAGCAGGGAACTGTATCTAAGATAAGGTCGTAATGAATTCTCATCCCTTTGTGCCAAAATTGAAGCAAGACCTTGTTTGAAATTCATGTGAAAGAGAAGGTTTTATCACTCATTGTCTCCTTGCAGGAGGTCTGTGGTTGTTTCTGGGAAAACAGACACTAGATACTCAGACTACTACCATCACCCTCTTAGAGTAATGCCACTGACTGCAGACTGACACCACGTGATATCTAGTTTAGCTTACCAAAAGGGGGAATGGCAAGGGAGGGTTTTCAAACTGTTAGCAGACTTATTTATGCACAGGAAGGCAAACTGGATATCAGGCATTTCTCTCAATCAACATAAATTCTCAAACAGCTGTTTACCTCTGTATGCCACCACCTGACTAAAGTGCTCTCTTAAAATAAGATACTCTTAATAAATCAACAACTATGAATGCTGGAAGTTTACCTTTATTTTTAGCCACTTTTTTCCCCTACCTGCTTTTGTTTCCTAATGATCAATAATACCACACCTTTCTGCTGGATATGCAAGCACCTTGCCTCAGGGTGCTTCTCCATGATGTTCCTCACCAATGCATGGTATAATATTACAGCTATTACACCTAGGTAAGTCTGTTCACAAAGTATGCAGGTATTTGACTGCAAAACTTTTTGAAGCCCCAACATAAATATGATTGGCAATACCACTACAGGATAAATTCATAAGCGAAGCACTGAAAAATCCAAGTATTAGAAGAGGGTTAAATCCTGAAGTTACATAATAGGAAAATACACAATGTCTAATCAGTAATACTGAGATAAACCTAAGACAAAACTACTCTGAAACATGAATTCTGAAATTCACACAAACCAAGGTCTGTTATTCCCCAGTTACTCAGAGATGACCCAAGTCTATTGGTATTCTTATACACTTCACAGCAGCTTCGCCATAAAACCTGTATACATGAGTTCCAGTGGCACACAGAACTTTAAAAATCAGTTTTCACATTAAAAAAATGTCTAGATACAAAGACAGTTGCTACAAAATGCATTACAGAAAGTTTTCCACACACAGGAAAATAAGGAAAAAAAAAACAAAAAAAAAAACCAACCCACATGCACCTTGTTTTCAATTGATACACAAGCTGGCTTCACAAAGAGCTGACCTGTCCCAAGTCTCCTACACACCCCAAATAAAATTCTTCATGTCTGTCCATTTGAAAGAATTAAAAACTTGTGTTAGTGAAAATTAAATTTTATATACCTAGCTAAATAGGAAAACTTCTGTGGAGTGACTTCCTTTACACAAGAAGAGAGGTATATATTGAGTTTGGAATGCCTCTGGATATTAAAACATTAAAATAATTTTCAATTTCTAATTCACATATTTATTCAAAGCAATAAAGCTGGATAAGAGGTTTTGGGGTTTAACTTCTTAATGAAAAGTCCACATGAAGTGTCATGGAATGGACATAATATACTGTGAGATAAAGTTTACTTCCATTTCAGTGAAATGCCAGTAATTTGGAGGGTAACTTCATTTAAAGTCGGGAACTAGGACAAGGAAACAAAATATTTTTGCAGTGCCTGAAATCCTGGAAGTCAACTCAATGTCCTATTCCTCTATGATATACCTTACCAGAACAGTCACAACAGCAGAAATATCACCAGCACTGTAACTGGGATTGCCTGTATGGTTTCACAAATTGCTTTATGAAGATCTTACCCACTTCCCAGATTCATTCTAGCAAGTCACTGACAACATCAGATTTTTTCTTTCATACTATTACTTCAAACTAGTCTCTGATTATTCGAGTCAGAGGCATGGCATAGCAAGCAGCACAGAAAACAGAAGAGTAGTTAATCGTATTGTAACTTCAGTTTAATAAATTTTGTGGTTTCAAATTCAGTAACAGTGCATAGATCTCCTAACACATGCATCATCCAGTGTTGGGAAGCAAAGACTATCAAAGGAATGAGTACAATCCCACAAAGCTAATAAACTAGATAAATTAAAGACATTCACACATACATATGAGAGAATCAATAGCCTCTGGTGTTTAATACACTACAGGATGCAAAAATATATGGCAGAGACCAAAAGATAAACCAATTTTTTTTTTTTAGCTTTTACTGTTTCACCCAAACAGCCTCTGCAACTCCACAAATAAATTACAAGTGATAAAAAACAGCTAGAAGAGTGACAGAGGAAACATCTGAGACCTGCAAGTTCTTCACCACTCACTCATCCTGAGTAAAGCAAATACAGGAACAGTGGACTTCAGTGAAAAGTACTGCTGCTGATACTCTCCTACATTCACAGCACCAAACATAAAGCAATCAACACAAAGAGAGGAAAGAACTAAACACACACCTTGAACACCTCAGAGAAGAAGCCAGAGCCAATTTTCTCACATGTGAAGTCATCAAGACGAGTAAGTCTGGAAAAGGCACTTATCAGGGCTCTGTATGAAGAGGTACAAACTCTTCCTATCTGGGATGCAGTCCCTTCTCCTCCAGTGCCACCATCAAAGTCTTCAGCACGCTCCAAGCGTGGTGGAAATCCTGCTATTGAATTCCGTTTACTTCGGTCCATTTTGAAAACAAGGTTTTATTTTGCTAAGGGAGGACTTCTCACATCTTAGGTAATTTCCTGTCTTCTCTACTCTTGTTGGATCCTAAAATACAAGAAATTGAGATTACCATTATTGTAAACATATCTAATAAGTTTGACAGGACTCCAACACATCTTACACCCATTTAAGGGAAGAAGAAAAAAAAAAAAAAAAAAAGCAGAAGGTAGCCAAGTAGGGGCATGAAAAAACAAAGAAAAAACCCAAACCACACCACAACCAACCACACAGCATCATCAGTAAAGACAGACAATCTAATTAACTTTTCCTTTAGATTCATGGAAATACCCTATGCTCTGGCTATTATGAAATTAATAGGTTTGGAATTCAAAATTTAACTGGTAACAAACAACTTTCTTTCCTTCCCCACCACCCCTTTCTTTTTTACTTAAGTTCTGGTTGCTAAAGCAAGCAAGTAAGCAGGAGGAAACCCACAAAATGTAACGTTCTATTCTACTTCAGTAGCAGTTGGTGACCAATCTACTGCTATTGCAAGAAACCATTTCACATTAGGGACTGAACAAAGGATCTCTAACTATAAAAAAAACAGATCAACTTTCAGCTGACGTAAGGAAAATTATTAGCTGTCAATAACAGTAGCTGGAACACCAAAACCTTTGTTGCTAAAGCTTCCACCTATGAATGTTCCAAGACCAATTCCTTAACTTATAAGAACACAAGTTTATACCCATTAAAGATCTAGCCTTCAAATTTATAAAAACATCAACAATCCTGCTGCAAAAACAAAGTATTCTTATAAGAAACTGCCAGAACAATTCTCCCCACAAACACACTTTTTGAAGCTATATTAATTTCAGTTCAACTGAAAACACAGGAAACAAGCTACATTTGCCAAGTTGGAGAGAAAAAAAAAAAAAAAAAAAAGGAAAAACCAACAGTAACGGAATTTTTTTCTTTTTAAGAGGATGATGAAGTAATCAGGATGACTCTGGAGCCCATCAAATTCAGCTTGGACTGGCAGACCTGACAGGTGGCCTACTTTTTTTTTTTTTCTTTAAACCTTAGACTCAGGAGGTTATTAATCTTTTCCACACTTAACTGTTCATTTACAGCAATTTGGTGAGCCTTTACAAAACCTGAAGAAAGTGAGCAGTCACAAAGAGGATAGATTTCTCTCCCTGCCTCCCCCTGCCCCACCACCCCTTGAGAGTGAATGAAAAACTGGAAGGAGAAGAAGGAAACAATAAAATTAAGGGGAAAAAAATGGTGGACAAAATAATCACAAAGCAGGGAGCAGGCGAGGCAATTATATTTCTGTTTACACAGATGTACAGAACCTGAACAATACACTAAATTTGAAGAGCATCTCAAAAACAGGCACACCAGCTGTCCTCTGAATACATAGCAGTGCTGCTATACCCATGTTTTGTATGCAGTGTATCTTTCAGAGATGCTCTGTGCCAACACATCAGAAAAGCACATAGTCCTTCCCTGCCTTCAGAAGTAAACTCTGTTGAACTCTGTGGAATTAATTTGAGGTTGTCCTCTCAAAACCAAAACATTTCCATATTTTCAAGGGTGTTTATTTCAAACATCTTAACACTTACCTCTCTAAGCAAGAGTCAGTGGGTATCAGAGAGTCTTACCAGGGCGCAATTAGGAAAATTTAATCTTTATCAAATCCCATGTTGTGGTATTCCTACATAATTTTATATGCAGACTCCAACATTCATGTGCTTACTGCACTTTTCAGATGATAGCACTACATAGTCTAATGTTATAGTGTGGGCAACTGCCACACAGAAGATCAGGATCCAATTTCTGACTTCATATTCTTGTCCCATGAGCCTTGAGGGTCTGGAAATGGTACAGAAGTACCATGGAAAGATAAAGCCTGTTATATCTCTCCAGCTGAGAAAAATAGCCCAGAGAACCTCCTCAGCTATAGAGAGGATGCCCAGGAATTTCTAAGGCATGCTTAAATAATTCCTTTTGATCTGAAAGGGACAAACTATCATTTGGTTACTTTTCAAGATGAAGAACTGTCTATAAAAGGAGGATAGACAAGAAACCATGATGTTAACAATTTTTTCTCTGGAACATGAGAGGCAAGTATCTTTGGAGACTGAACAGAAAACCCTGCTGTAATTGAAGAAACAATTTTTTAGAACTTATTTGCAACAGAGTAGTACTCACATGCACTAGTTGCTTTCCAAAGGAAGGGAACAAGTATTTGCCCCAGAAATGCAGTCTGACACTCCAGTATCACAGCAATGCCGTATGAAGCGGACCCTAGATATTGTAGGCATCCCAGCTAAATCTCATTAAACACCACATCCGCACCTCAGCCAGCAAACTACAGCAACTTGTAAAGCAGGACTATAAATTTAAGTTTCCAGGCAAAGCAAGACATACGCAAAAACAAAATAGGGAAGGTTGCTGTTGTCTTAACTAGAGGAAGACACCAAGTTCAGTAAGCCATCTTCAACAGGAGGAAAAGTCTAACTCTGGCTTAAGTATCCAGATACCATTAAGGAAAGATCAGCTCTCAGCATTGTCTCTCGATCTATTTAACACACACACAAAAAAACTCCCTCACACACACACATCCTTTTGATTGAAATCACATGGTGAACTTTGCAAAACTCTATACAAATCCCACAATGAAAGAAGAGATTCAAAGTACTTCACACAACATAAACCCCAAAAGGTTTTGCCATCTGGATTCCCAAGTAACCCATTCCTTCATTTTTGTCTGCTAGAGTTTGCCTTCTTTCCAGACAGCTACACGAAATCCTTCAAAATTATTAGGATAGAGCTCCATTTGTCTAGTATTCTGCCCAGGATTGCATACACAGAATTAGAGGAAAATTTCAAGTGGGCACAATTCCAAGTGGGCCTCCTGTCATTTTGGCCAATTACACTAATGATCACATTCTCAATGAAATCAACCAAGGTTTAATTGACTGTCAAGTCAGTCTGAGGTACTTTAATTTACTACCTTGTATGGTTAATTAAAGTGCACTGAACAGAATCCAAGACTATCCAGCAAATCCTGCAACCAACTAAAAGGTTGTTGGGTGGTTTTCTTCATATTAAAGTTCAGCTTAAAAACTCTTAAGCTGTGCTCAACAGCCAGTTAAAAAAAAGACACTAAAGACTGAAAAAACATTTCCCAATAATTCCTCAGCTTTCAGACCAATTTTTTCTAACATATTTATTCAAGAAAAATGCACCCCACTCTGCCAAGACAAAAATAATTTAGAAATACGCCTCCCCAAATGCATACCTGCCCTACTCATCCATATTTTAATTACTGAAAAGCACAATTTCAGAATGTTTCATACCCTACCACATTTTAATTTATTGGTTTAAAAAAACCTTGGGGGGGGGGGGAAATCCATGTTAATACTATATTAAGATCAGTTTCTCCACTGCATGAATGCACTGATATTTTAATTGTGGAAATTACTATAAACACAAATACTATCAGCACTTATTTGGCTTTCAAAACCAATGCCTAAGCCCACAAATACTTAAAGATGGAAATCCCACAATAGCACATCAAGTTATACCCCACACATCAGGGTGGGTGTACACCACTCCAAACTAACAGATCACATATATTAAACAGTACTTTATACTTCACGGACAAAAATGTGTAAGGCTTCTCAACTTTAGCAGCATCCCTTTAATGTCTTAGTGTATAAAACAAGATCCTTTCAAAAACCCTTTCAATTCATTACTAAGATGTTTTCTGTCCACAGTATCTTTATAAATATGTGCATATTTGCACTCAAATGTCGAACTCACAATTTCTTAAAAGATGGCCTTAACAACAACAACCATTTTTAGACACACAAGACTGTCGCTAGGCATTCAGCCTGGAAAGCAATAAATCTGGTAGATGCATGTTATTAATTTGAAAAGGTTTTCTGAAGAACAAGATGCCAAAGCTTTGACATAAGTCATTTGCCAAGAGTTAACTATTAAACTGATAGCCTGATGTAGCTTCAAAAACCCAGCACTACAAAAACATGAAGGAATTATGCTGGCAAGTATCACTCGACAAAATAACAACTTGGGGGGGTATGGGGGGGGTGTGTGTTAGAATTCACTGTTGTAATGTGCAAATTTCAGAAAAGCTTCAAAGGAATGTCAAGAACAAAATCTTCCAAGGACTGAATTGACTTTGAGGTCATTAGCTTGGAGAAGAAAAACAAGAAAAAGATGTTTGGAAGTGAAACACAAGAAATCAAACTAAACAGGTAAAGAGAACCACGCATTCCACAATTTTTTCTTAACTTCTGTCATCTGCCTTCCTAACAGAGGAAAGTTCCTTGGTTTGTCCATAACATAGCTTCTTGTCTTTGGGAAAAAGATAGTATCAAACACTTACAGACGACAAGGTAGCTACAAGTACCAGAGCTTGGCCTAACTCATCCTGAAGCTGAAGTCTTTTTGACTGCTTTTACAGGGTAAGTCTTAGGGTCCGGTTTATAGACTTACACTCGAATGTGAAAATCCCAACATTTTTTATTTTCATTTAGGTAACGTTTTGCTTTAATTTCACCTCCCCTGTAGGGAATAATTCCTAGCTCTAGCCAGTACTGTCATAGCATAAACTTCCCACAGCTAGGGCTGACATTCCTCAGAAGAGACCTGCATTAGCCCTACTACACCACTGGAAGTCTGCTAAACTGCATCGTGGTTTTATAATGCAAACAAACCTCCACAAGAGGCTAAACTGAAACAAACAGTTCATTTATTTTGTTTCTGTAGCCAAGTTTGAAACCAGTAAGAGACTAGCCATTAACTTACTGCAGAGCTCAGGATTCAGGGCCAAGGTTGTAGGCTTAAAAATATCTGCATCAAGCAGAGGCATAAATTCTGGCACATATTGATTCTTATGCCCACAGCATAATTGTCAACAGTTTCTAGGGTCCAATTATAATACAAACCTAAACCTCTACAGAAGGACCTTGCAAAAATCCATTCCTCTCCTAGTCTGGTTTTAGTCACTCCAATCCACAGTGCAGACAAACAGACTCTAGCCTAGTTACAGAGCATCGTTAGAGTT